AGATATATACCACTCCTATCTGTGATCAAGACAATCTCACCTTGTTATACAGGTATATACCACTCCTATATGTGATCAAGACAATCTAACCTTGTTATACAGGTATATACCACTCCTATCTGTAATCAAGACAATATCACCTTGTAATACAGGTACATACCACTCCTATACGTGATCAAGACAATCTCACCTTGTTATACAGGTATATACCACTCCTATCTGTGAACAAAACAATCTCACCTTGTTATACAGGTATATACCACTCCTATCCGTGATGAAGGCAGCGTCACATTGTTACCAGCCCTATCTGTGATCAAGACACCATTATCCAATGATAGGTGTATCTTTACTTCCCCTATACCTTAAAATCTCATCACGCTAATTGTGGTTTATATGTTGGTATCGATGATGCATAAATGTGTGAAGTTAGTCAAAAGACTTATTATAAATTCAGTTTAACTGAGGAAACCACCTTACATACATATGATTAAAAGACATGAATTTGAATATGCAAACTTAACAGCTGATTAGTGAACAGTTTATCAACAATGGGAGTTAATTAAGGTCGAATGATTCAATCCTCCTTCATAATTGGTGTAATATGTGTTACAGATGGACCTAGGTGTTTGTTAATACTGTCCCGGTGTGTAGTAACTAATGTCACAAGCAGATCCCAGTTCAACATATTCAACCTGATAGTTGCACTGGGCACTTAGTAATTTGGCAGAATCAGGAAAATTGTACCACCTACAAAACATCCAATTAAAAAGCCACAGTTACATCTAGGGATTGGTTTTGTTTTGTTTTATTGGGTTGCATTTGAGTGTCCTATTAACAGGAAAGGTTATTTGAGGATGTACCGTCATGTGTGTAATGTATGCATGCGTGCAGGAGACAGAAGCAAGTGTGTGTATTTGCCTCCTTGTAACAGTGCGGATCCTTCATCGTGCCAACTTTAGAGTGCTACTTCAATGAAGTACCATGCTGAAGGCACTCCATATAATATTCCACCTGACCACATTATACTGACCACGGCTGAACTAGTGGATACGATTACCCTAAATACTGTGATTACCTAATACTGAATGTTTAGCAGGGAACAGTAACTACCATTTGAAGGACTTAGGTATGTCCCTGCTTGGGGAAAGAATGCATTGCCTTTCTCATATGGGTGAAAACATTCAACACTGAAGCCATAGGTGCCAAGTAAAGAGCTTGGAAGCATAATGATCAGAAGGTATAAGAGAGAAAAGAAAAAGATCCCACATGTTACAATGACTGCAGCAGATTTATTTTGGTTTGGTTATAAAAGCTAGAAATTAAGCCAATCCAAAAATTCTGCAAGGGGGCGGGGGAGGTCCTCACATTCGTTTCCTCTTACAATAAGTAGTGGGTACCAGTTCTTTTCTTTTCTCAATCCCTGACCTGCAGGGATGTATAAAGGATGGGGCACTTATTTCAGCTGAATATGGCATATAAATTAATAACACTTTTATACGTATTAAAACACTTTTTGGAATTTCTGAAATTTTGGAGATATAAGTTCATGTATTCCTCATTGGCACGACAAAGACTTAATGCTAGAACTCAGGAGAGGAACATTGGATATCATGTTAAAAGTACAGAGGATTACCAAGTATACAGTGACCAGTACAACTGTAGGTTAATGATAATACTAAATGATACGGAAATCAGTATCATGGGGACATAAAATAGGAAAGGAAGTATGTGGAATTAACTGACTTATAGATTGTGATAATTACATTCATCTCTCTGTAAACAAGGAGCAATCATCTCCTCATATAGAATTATCATCAAGTTTGTCTAAGATGTTAAATGTGAAACATCAAACCCAGAATTATAGACACACCTGGACATATTGTAATTGACACGTGGAATGTTCTATTTACCTGTTATAGGAATCAACCTGGAGATTGAAGGTCGGGGTCAAGGCTAACACTTATCATCTGTTAATGTCATCTTCCATGATAATCTACACCTGATTTAAAGGTACCAGAAGCACTGAAATAGACATGTTCCAATTTCCCATTTCAATTTTCTGTTATTTAGCATACATACATGAACAAATTTAGGCAATTAGTTGTGACTAAGCTGTTTATTTATCATGTGTGTGTATGCAGTATTCTACCACTGCCAAATCTATCATGTTATAATATTTTATAACTTTCTTGCTTCCAACTTACTTTCATTTATTCATAATGTTTAACTCACATACCTTAAACTTGCTGCATGATGATTTATGATATGTAGAAAATAGATCTGCTTATAATGTATGTAGATTGAGGTCAGGTAAGTACAATGTAGATAGTAAGTGTAAGTCTTAAACTTTAACCCATTCACCCCTAAAATTTCATAATAAACTATTCCAATTTTAAATTGAAATTGTTCAAATGTGTCTTCAGGGGTGAATGAGTTAAAAGATAGGTATATACATCATATAGACATACATATATAACAGCATATATTATATCATAGACGAAATTTGGTTAATGCTAAGTTATTAATTGATAGTGGTATAGGGATCCTTAAAGATTTGGTTTACTCATTCACCCCTAAGATTTTATAATGAACTATTCTAACCTTTGAAATAGAAGAGTTTATATGAGTCTTCAAGAGTGAATGATTTGAAAAGGATATAAATTGTAGACATTCTAGTACTGTTTATAAAGAATGGTCTGCAGAGACATGGTCTGGTCTGAATGTTCGGGGTATAATACGTATATACATGTAGCTTAATTTTTACTGAAACAATGCTGCACTGACAGCTAAACCAGAGTAACTTTCCTAGCAGTAAAATCTTCAGTAGATAAAAAATAAGTATATGTTGACTGGTATGAAATACCACGTAACAAACAGTTAACAATTTAAAATTCTTCCTTAGTTTCAAAATAAACCCATTGTCTCATCCGACATACACATATTTCAATATATTTTAAACAAAGGATTATAAACAGAAGTTTCCCCTAATTAAGGATGTATGATTGTATACCGAGGAAATAAACAATTTGAAAACTCAACAATAGGTTAAGTAATACTTAACATTTATTCACCTTAATTGTTATTGAGAGCGATGAATTATGTATAATTTCTCAACACCATGACAGAAGTTTGAAAAACGAATGACAATGATAAATAATATGAATCATAGTAGTTTGTTATTCATTTGTGAATATTTTTTTTAAAACAATACCATATTTGACCTAGGCTCTCTACGGTATCCCTTCATCACAGTAGACTGAGTACTTCCCAACCTTTTGAAATTTCCATTGAGGAGATTCAGAATGCTCAATTATAAAAAAAACATGTGTGGATACAACCTCAAAGAAAAAATGAACACTTAACAATGACATCTTTTGAGTTGTTTTCCAGATGAAATCATCAGATCTTCGAATCTAGGAAAGGTTTAGAAAATGCACAGGTTAGAAATATTAAATTTAGGGTCTGAAATTAGGAGTCTTCCTCTAAAATAGGGACAGTAGGTCAGTTTGTTGCTGACATATTTGAAAAATGTCTATTGCGGTTTATTTCTGAGAATTTTTGAAGGTTCTGCAAACAGTCATCATTTATTGGGTTTAACAGTGATTCACTATGAAAACACACATAACTTTTTTCCTCCATATGATATTTTTGAAGGAAAAAATATGTAAATATTCATACGGATGTAACTTACGTATAAAAAAAGTGTTTGACTATATAAGATAATGGAAGCTGAGAGCTTGTTGACTGGCCCTGTGGCACTTAGTTAGCCTTACACTGACATACAAATTAGCGTGTACCCCCTAATATGTCAATATCACTAAACAGCTACTGAATATCTCATTGTCTCATCAAGTCGTATAATTTATTCACATGTCTTAACGCTATAGCATAAGCTCCTAATTATAATCAAACTAATGCTAATTGATAGGTAAATATCCCTGCCCCACTTGTCAATTTAGTCAATTCAGTTTTAATTTTTTCCCCCAAGAAAAGCTGACAGAATAATCCATATTGCGATATAAATAGATGTGAGAATAAGCAACACTGCAACACTTCATTACGAACTATGTGAGGTTTAATGATAGGTTCTATATTGAATAAATGATGGATACAGATTCCTCGAAGATTTGTCACTGTCTGACGAGATTTGTCAGTGTTCATCACACCACCAAGGCTACATTAAACACCGAATGGAATAATAGTCCAATTATAACCACAGCTTTATAACTTAACTTAGTAATAAATGTTTGTCATTTCAATAAAACATTATAAACACGTAACTTGTAACAAATCAACAAGGTTACCATAGTGTAGCAATATTTTGTAGTCCTTGAACTATTTTATTTTTAGATCTTTAATTAAGTTGTTAATCAAGATCAGGTTTTCTCAATCAGTCTGTATATAAATGTTCAGAGACAATGTTACGGATCAATAATATGAAGCTGGATTATTAATGAAATGGTGTGATATGGAGAAAACTTCAAATTGTCAACAAACTGTGGTATATCAGCTGCCTTTATTGTTAGTGTTATTATAATTAAGTACAGGTGAGAGAACAGATTTTCTATTTAAAATCAATTTTATCTAAACTTTTAAGTTTCATTTTCAACATAACTACCATTAACGAATAAGAGAAGATTATTATCATTTTGTACAGCAGCCGTACTGCTATATCATGTAAACTCATCACGATTTTATTTCAGTTTTGTTTTGAACATAGCAATGCATATAAGATAAAATCTATCCGAGCTACTTAAGAGATAAGATCTGGGCAGCATCAGTGTTATCGTAATAGCATGGTTTAAATAGGTTGAATTGAACATTCACATAACATCACATCTGACGTCCCATCCCGTTCACGTAACCAATTTGATGAACCATCCCATTCATTAAAGGTCTCTGCAGTCCCACTCCTATGATTCCCTACTCATACACACTGTAACAATCTGTATTAACAAATTTAAAAACAATTGGAAACTTTGACTTGAAGAAAAACTTACCGTACCTGTAGATGTGAGTGTAGTCCAGTACGTATGTGTCGGTCAGTTAAACTGGACACACAGATGACCAGTGGAGTGAACTATAATATTCCATGGTTTGTATAAACACTTTCATCCTCCAGGAAACCTAGCCCGCTGATCTCTTACATTGTTAGGTCCACAGGCTAACACTTATAGACAGCAACATGGGATGGCAGTAGAGATTAATACCTTCTATTAACTACCCAATAATAGACCTAAACATTGATCCTGGTGTGTATATCCTCCAGCTTCCATACTCGTTACCTGTGAGCTACCTATGTAGGATAGTATATATATATACTTCAGCAGTCTATTAACATCACCTAAAGGCTGGGGGGACCTGTTATACACACTGCCCAACCAGCTACGGTATACACACGTGAATGGAAGTGTTCCCCAAGGCAGCAGATATAGGGGCTGTGTAATGTATGGGCTATTACTCCCCAGGTGTCTCTCTAACTATATACACTTAGTTTACCTCCTCAGGAATTTGTTAAAGAAAATTATCAGATATTTCATGTGTTTACTTAAAATTGTTAAAAACAGTAGGACTTCTAATAAACTTTAACGAGACAAACATATGAATCAGGAAGTGTTCCTCTGTAGCAAATTATTATGACATCGGTGTACACCTAGACATGTCTGCTATTATTTCCCTAATTGTCCATGTAATTTGTCCAGTTTTCAGTCTCAAAGTGTCTATATAACTTACAATGTTCACAAACTATATGATTCCTTATAATATTTTGTAAGATATTTTCACTGTTGACAAGAAGTAACTAAGTACTCTCCAGCGACTGCCAGGGTTCCTGGGTGTTCAGTCCAGACATCACATGATAACCAAGAGACTGTTTACTGGCAGATATGGTAAGGAATCTATTCCAGATCTCGACTTCATCTTTTAAAGTTTTCCTCCCGACAATCCAACCCACGGGGTCTGGTGTTTGGTTGAGACAACAGCTGATTATCAGCGATAATGTTTAGGCACTGTTGTAACTATAGACATTTACTATCTTGTGCACCACGACCCTAAAGTGCTCAGGAACGAAACCAGAACTTTAAAGCTGAGATTCCTACCACTGTCGAATGATTCATTGTTATGGATGAGTTTTCGAAGCCAAAGTTCCAACAGAAAACATTGCCCAGTGGTTCTGATGTAATAGATCCACGGCCATGTATGTACATGTATATAAAACTTTCAGACCATCGGATAAGTTTCTTTCAACTTCCTTCACAAATGCCTGAACCTGATAAAGCTTCAGATAAAGTTTACAGAATCCTATAACTTTAAGCTCCCATCAAGCTGACTTTTACAGTGGGCAAATAAATCTCTCCCAGGTCAGACTGCAGCTGATGGCTATCATGCGAGAGAAGCAACATTACCTATACCATTCTATATATAATATCTTATGTGGTAGGTACAACTCTATCCAATCGAAATAAAACTTCCTATATTATCATTCCTATCTGAACATGTTGTTGCCTCTTGAATTAATTTAACATATCATCCTTTTTCTATAGGGTTATAATCACAAGGAAATCTGTTTAATCCATAGGAAAATTTGTAAAATCATTTTTAAATCATATTTTTCGATTTGGATTAAATTTTAATACAATAAAAATCTTTAAAAAACAAACACTGAAAAAAAGAGAGAGGAACAAATCCCAGAGGGCTGTTTAAGTCGGGTAAACATATTTCAGGATGTTTTGGGTGGGGAAAACCCAAAGGGAAGCTGGAAGCAGCGGTAAAAAATCTCTGGGAAGAACAACAACCCGAAAGGTGACCAAAGGGCGACTTTTGAGGGGAGAAAAACATCGCCAGAAGACTGTAGGGAGGGGAGACACCCAAGGGAGAATTAAGCTGTCTTAAGGATGGGATAGAGAAAACTCTGGCATGGCATATGTTGTCGGCCAAGAGGAACAATTGTTATCTACAAATGGCAGTTGTAAACGTTTTAGTTTGCATGCAGATCAGAGGAGCAATAGTTAAATTTGGCGAGTTTTCAATGAAAAACCATTTGGGAGGAAAGGGATTAGGAAGAAATGTAATCTAGTGAGATGTGTAGAGTTTCAGGACTGGTTGTGATAATGATACACATACACTACTGTTAGCCTGCACAACTCACTCCTCTGGTTTAACGCTCAACAACATTTTTTAAAGTTTAAAAATAGTTGATGTCTGATGGTAGGGCGATGTTGCGTCTAATCACGTTATCTCATGGGAGGGTGTGGAGGATGCTTCGTTAGTGTATTAACCAATAAAAATGGCCAGTTTTATTTGTGTGGGAATTTACACATGTTTTTGGACAGCACTATTACTTTGACTACAGTGGACATTTGGACCTTCACCCTAGATAAGATATAAACTGTTGTAACATCTTTATCATCACATTCAGTGGGCAAACATTTGGACTGAAACAATCTAAAGACAATCATGTTGGAATCTAGGAACTACGTGTAAAAATAGCATAAAAATCTTAACTTCCAATAATGTTACAGTATAATAACAGTAATGGTTTTGACAGCAATAGAGCCTAATATAATATTTCTTAACAATTTCAGGCACTTTAAATACATACAAATAATGTAGGTATGTTTAATACAATGTCATATAATTTGTACTTTTTATTTCTTATAATTGGGATTGAAGGAAATAAAGACTTAACTGCAGAGAGGAATTAAATTTTGTATTGTCAATTAATTACCAGTTTTATTAAGCAAAAGATTCAATTGAAGCATCCAAAAGCAAATCATATACATCATTTCATTATCAGGAAATAAGGTAACTTTAATTTTAATTTAATCGACAGTTTGATTTAAAAAAAAATCCAAATGCAACAAATATTTGATTGAACACTCTCAATCATTGCCGATTCATATTCAGTGAAAGCTGTTAAAAAAAATTCCCTTAATCAAAGGTATCCTTGCATAGATGTGCAAAACTAATAAAAAAAAGTCATTTCATCAGCAGAAACATGATGTTCACTACATCATTCTAGTCTGTGTTGGTTGACGGTGGCCAGACATGGTACTGGGAAGATGTTGCCAGTGTCAATCAGCTGTATCTATGCTGTCACTGTCAGCCTTCCCTCAGCCCTCGCACACCTTAACAACATTTCATTTGTATGTATTACCCACCACGATAGTCAAATCAGTGAATTCCTCAAATATATTTTACGTTTGATCAGGTATTGACAGCTTCTACACATTCTTTCCAAAGAAATTTCTTCATGCAAAACGTTTGTAAATTACAAAATGATGTCTACACACAAGGTCAAGGTCATTGCTCGAGAATTCATACTGATGTAGTAGGCCGAGGAATAGCGATAAAGATAGTGCCATCGGTGGGGCTTGAACCCGCGACCCTTGGCTTTCCCTATGGAAAATAGGTATTCATATTTATATGTTCCTTTGGCTATACTTGAATTCATTCTTTAGTATAATTTTAATTTCAAACTTTGGAATGAATACAAAATAATTGACACCAAAGAGTAAATCCTTTGTGCCCGTGATCCAATGGTCAAAGAGGTCAAAGAGGTCACATGAACACTGTACAATTACAGGAAGTTCTTGTTTAGATCAGTCTCTACTTCCTTGTTCAGTGTAATCTGATAAGGTTTCCCCCAAATCTCAAAACAAAGAGAACTATTTATACCTACAACCTATGTTTGATGACAGCTGCAGTGTGTCAGTGTATCTGATGGTGTCCTCCTGTGATTATATCTGACATATGTGTAAAGTGTCAAGGCCTTCAACATCAGGCCTCCCACATCAGGCCTCCCNCCCCCCAAAAAAAAAGTTATTGGGGGAAATTAGGGTACTTGGTTGGTTAAATTGTGGAGGTATTGACCACAAAATATCAAATATCAACGTGAAATAGTTTTTATTAGTCTATTTAAAGTTATGAATCAACTCATATCACTTTTTTTTCCGGGAATTTTATCTTTTGGCAATAGTTTGTTTTACGATAAAAAAAATCTATTTCATCAGAATTTGTATATGATAACTATTTTGGGATGTTTCTGTTCACCTAAGGTTAAAATTAGATAATTTGCCTCTGATAAATCAATTTGCACCTAAAAAAAACCTAAGTCAAATTGATAATGTTACACATAGAAATTCCTAGTGTGATTTTTCGACTGGCTTGCTGTGCCTTCTCAGGGTAAATACTGTGGAATGGTTTTAGATGAAAAGCTGTTAAACCTATTAGAAGATAATAACTACATTTGTAAACTGAAAACACCATGACTTAAGAGTCTTACTAGGTTATAACATAACAGGCTAACACATGAAAACACACAAAGCTACTCTCTTAAACCGCAGGACAATCACAGTATACGACCCAGACTTACCTAGACAACTACAGTTCATAGTTACCTAGACAACTACAGTTCATAGTTACCTAGACAACTACAGTTCATAGTTACCTAGACAATACAGTTCATAGTTACCTAGACAACTATAGTTCATAGCTACCTAGACAACTACAGTTAATAGCTACCTAGACAACTACAGTTCATAGCTACCTAGACAACTACAGTTCATAGTTACCAGACAACTACAGTTCATAGCTACCTAGAAAACTACAGTCCATAGTTTCATAGACAACTACAGTTTATATATAGTTACCTAGACAACTTCAGTTCATAGTTACATAGACAACTACAGTACATAGTTACCTACACAACTACAGTTCATAGTTACCTAGACAACTACAGTTCATAGTTACCTACACAACTACAGTACATAGTTACCTGCACAACTACAGTTCATATTTACCTACATAAATACAGTTCATATTTCCTAGACAACTGCAGTTCATATTTACCTACATAAATACAGTTCATATTTCCTAGACAACTACAGTTCATATTTACCTGCACAACTCCTGTTCATAGTACTAGTTATACCTACACAACTACAGTACACAGTTACCTGGACAACTTCTGTACATGTAGACATGTAGATACCTAGATTAATTCAGTGCAGAGTTACCTAGACAACTAAAGAACATAGTTACCTAGTACCTAGCTAGCTACGCAGACAGCTACATTGCATAATTACTAAGGCAACTTATTTGCATAGTTACGGAGACAACATCTGTTTGTCTAGTGAATATATGTACAACTACTTACTCTATTAATAACTTCTTATATAGGGTGACCTTGTTACCACGACAACTACTTATATAGGGTGACCTTGTTACCACGACAAGTACATATCTAGAGCTACCATGGCAACTACTGAATAATTCATGAATTGACAAGGTTGGCACATAAACATTTATATCTTGGGTATTGCCAATTATATATAGTGATCATGGTATTGTTGGTCATACTCTCTATAACCCTAATTTATATATCAATACCATACAGTACCCTCTGTACTTTCTCTCTGTAGCCCTGGTCTGTGAAGCCATATCATACAGTAGCTATGTGTATCATTCTGATCTTAGTCAAGCCTTTCTGCTATTTGACAGCACCTCCACATTCTCATTGAGATTGTGTGTGAAACTCCATGTTTTAATTACTTCTGTTTTAATCCAAAAAAAACATGTGACTCCTGAAAGTGAATGGAAGGCTGACATTGAAGGAAATACATGTGTTTTTCCTGCTCACCCAATCCTCTATATGAACACACTTGTGATATTTTGTTGCTCATTCATTTCAGACAAATGGGAAGGTGGTTCCATTTGTGACCAAATGTAGAAACATTACTAGATGTTTACAAGAGATGATACTTTCCATTACAAGGACATTACACTGAGATTGGATTTAGAAGTTTTCTCCATAATTAACCTATAAAAGAGCAACCAATAGCTACACATTTTAACCTCCAATATAGACACTCCTAGTTAGGTCAATAATGGCCTCCTTCTGCAAACCTGAATTACTGTACACTGATCCTTTTAATCAATCATTCACACATGTGGTACAATTCATGGAACACATGTATGACAGGATCTCTTTGGCTCTAAAGGTATCCTACATGCAGTATTGCCATGTGATACAGAGGAACTAATGTACAATATACATAAAATAGTTTCTACAGGTTACACTGTCACCTGATACACTGGTTATACCTATACTAATAAAGGTCTACTTAAGTTCTA